AGAAACATATTGAACAGATAAACAATGTACAAAATATCTGCTTACAATTGAGCTGCATTACTTATGACTTATGAAAAGTGTGAATTCTACAGATTTTATATTATATTTATTAAATATAAATTTATAATAAGATTATTGTTACCATTAGCACCGCAGAAATTACTCTTCACTATTGGCAAAGGATTCTCTTCCCAAATCTCGAATAAACAAGTTGACATTGCCGGGAAAAAAAAAACATTATTTTTATACCCAAGTGAGTTCAAAAATATAGCTTTATCCACATGATTAAATTTATAAAATTAGAGATTTTATTTTGAATATTTCTTTTTTCTTTTTGGCATGGCATATTTTGAATATTTCAAAAGAAAGTATAATTGCCTTCTTCCTTGAATGGTCATCTGCAGAAGAAATTAAAGACAATTTTAATGTTTAAAAATAAGTTGATTAACTAATTTTCTTAAAACGTTTGACCCACCGAAAAAAAAAGACTCCCCTATCGCTAACGAGAAATTTATTTAGATTAAATCCGTGTTTGTGATGGTATTAAAAATTACTTATAAGCACGTTTTACATAAGTCGAAAACAAAATTCTTCTCACATATTTAATGTTCCTCGTATTCCGTAAATTATGATTCTAAACAAGTCCCAAAAAAGTTAGTTAAATTAGTTTATTATAATAAATATGACATACTTTTTTCAAAACACTGATATTTATGATGTTCACTGACTTCAATTATTATCGTGAGAAGGACCCACCATGTTGTTGAGGAAATATTAACAGGAGGTAGTTTGCATTTGGAAGAAAAATAATAAATACTCCTTCAATCCTTAATATAGGAGCTAATTGTTAAGTTGATTTTGGTTCTAAATATAATATCTATTTCTCATATTTATCAATTTTTTCTAAATTACTCTTATTGATATTCCCTCAGGTATAATTGTAACATCCCAATTTTTTTTTTTTATTATTATTCCTAGTGTTTAGTTAAGTTTAGAAGGAGTTTAATGCTTGATAAATGAGTTTTATTCTCTATTTATTTAAGAAAAGAGAATTATTGAAAATAAGATTTATAAAATATGTATAAGGAAATTTCTGAATAATAATAATAATAAAACGGATTAAAAAAAAATGGGAAAAAACGGGGTACCAAACTATAATTTTGTCCCATTTTAATATGGGGTCTTTAACTGGAATTTTTGCCAAAATATTATTTTAACCGTTGGGGGCCAGAGAGAGAAACATTTCGACGTTTTTCTTTTTCACCTTCTCCGGCGCCTCCTCTCATTTTTCCAGTAGGGTTTCAACTTTGCAGATCATTTTGGTAAGCCAAATGACTTCTTTTCATTAAACTCTCTTCATGAAAGTTTTTTCCACTCATCTAAATCTATCTAATGATGGTAGTTTTATACTGTTTAGAGATAATTTTTGGGTTTAGGGTTTGAAGCAAGTGTTGAGTTTTGATGATAGGTAAGCATAATATTGTAGAGCTATTTTAATAGATCATTTCTATCAGTTTAGTTTTATTTATTGACTGACCTAATATTTTTAAATGAATTATTTTAGTTAAACAGATATTTATTTATGAAAAATATGATATTTATACCATGAAACTGTTGATTAAATTATTTACTTAGATGCATTTGATGTATAGTGAATTTCTAATGGTTGGTTTTTGAGATTTAAAGTTAAAATAGGATTTTTGAATTTTAAATATGATAATTTCAGATTTAAAAATTTGAGAAAAATCTGTATTAAAGTAAATACCTTGAAATGTTTAAATGAAAATTTTGGATTGTGAGGATATATAAATTTTGTGCTAAAAGACTTAATTATGGGTTATGAGAGGTTTGGGTTTAGCATAGAATTAGAAACTTTAACTTATATATATATGTTTTAGTTTAAGTAATTAATTAAATAGCTTGTGTATTGATATGTAAATGTATTGGTTGTGTAGATTAAATTATTGGGCTATTGGTATGAGCACGGGGTTAACCTTGTGGTAATACTTGTTCTAGACAAGAGGTAACCACTTTCCACTTATTATTCATGCTCGTAGGTTGTTTGTGATTGATTTTGAATTATAAGGAATTTATGAAATATTATTGAATTACGATGTGAGCTATGAAAGTATGTTGTTATTGAAATTGTTTTGTGAGACTTTTGTTGCAAAAGATATATGTTTACTATTATGATGATCTTAGGTATTATGAGTCAATTGAAAAATGGAAAATCCCAATTGATTTTTACATGTTGATGATTGTTTATGAATGCAATATTTTGAGTGTTGATATATGAGGGGTGGCGGATGTTGATGATGGGTACTATAACAAAGAGGATATAAGGGGGTGAATTATGTACATTTGAGGATATAAGGTGGTAGGGCCATCAGGTGTACACTGATTGGTCCTTTGGCCCAATTATTCATTATAGGGCATTGACACCCTACTAGTAGACTAGAGGGGGAACCCATGGTCCGGTCTGGTGCTCTGTGGATTTTGGCCGGTCCATATCACTTGATCGGTGAGCTTGTCTAATTACCAGTCACATGGATGAGGATTTAGCCCATGGGTTTAGTCAGAGGATATAAGGTGGGTGGATATAAGGGAGGTGAAAAGATTATTGATTATACTTTTTATATGCTTTGACAATATGAAATTTGTTGGAATACTATGAATTTGCTTTGTCTCACTTGACACGTCACGAGCACTTACTTGTATGCTTGATAAGTAGGATTGCTGGTTACTGAGACTTTTGTCTCACCCCGTTGATTTAACACTTTTCCAGGTGATAGTTCCCGTTCGGGTCAGTCAGGGAAGGCTCCGGAAGCTTGAGCTGCTATTGCAAAATTGTAGCGCTTCCACTCTTTTGATTGTGTTGGATAGATGTATATTGCCATGATAGGGCCCATTCCACATACTCTGATATGTTTGAGATTGATTATTTTGACAGTGTACTTTTGAGAACTGTTACTGGACTGTATGCTGGTAGAAGGCCGGAGGCCTTTAGGCATTTGCATGTGATTTCTTTTGTTTGATATGAGTGGTGAATCCACAGTGATCTTTGACATGAAATGACTTTTGATTTTGTTGAAAGTTATGAAAGGTACTATTTAGTAAAATCGTGTTATGGGCTTATGGTTGAAAATGATATTCTAGATTTATAATACCCAAAGCCCTATCCATTATGAATATCTTTTTGCACGCAGTTAATTTAGGAAAGTTCTTTTAACCATGATAGACATATTTATGGATTGGTTTAACTCTTTTTCTATCATGGTTAATCTCATATGATTTAGGATATTTATATAACCATGATAGTATTTCTAAATATTTTTACAAAGTTTCTTTTCTATCATGGTTAACTTTTTGATATTGATTACTTTATAAGTGTAGTAGTTTCGTTGTTACAATAATCAAGTAAAAGAGAGAGGAAATATATTAAGAAAGATGATTATGGGGTTTTAGGAAAAATATGTCATGTTTTTAATAATTAACTAACTTACTTAATTTTCTTATTCTAATCAAATTAGTTAAAATATGTCTTATATTAAAAACCTGTGGAGTATAAAAAATAGGTACTCCCTCTCTCCTTTTTTACAAGAGACAATAGGTTCGTTTGGATTAATGATTAAAAAAGTAGCTTATTGTCAATCTAACTTTTAAAAAAGTGAAATTAAGTAAAAGTTAAATTAGGTGATGTGAATTGTGTTTAGATTAGATTTTGTAAAAATTAAATTGTAAAAGGAAGTTGTTTGGATTATGATTAAATAAGTAATTTTAATTTATAAAATTACCAAAATGAATAAGACTTTTATTAAATAATAAAAAATTTAAAAATGATCAATTTACATAATATAATAATTTTAAATCATTTATAAGTTCTTGTTGATCTCATATATTTTCTTTTATTTTTTTTATCATTTATTATAAGAGCATATTTGAAAATAAAAGTATATTTCTGGGGCATATTTGAAAACAAAAATAATTCTAACTTATTTATTACCTTCAACAAATTTTAACTGATTTTTTGTTATCTACAAATTAGTTATTTGAGGCTTATAATAAGAACCAGATGAGATAATAAATTTTTTAACTGTTTCTCTCTCCATATTTCAAAAGTCATAAGTCATAAGTCATAAGTAACTACTCCCTCCGTTCCTTATTATAAGAGACAAATAATCGAAGTACGTTGATCAAAACAACAGTTAAAATTAGTTAAGAACAATTAATATGTAAAAAGTAAATTTTTTTTCCAAAAATGCCCTCATTAATAAGAAGAGAGAGCATGAGAGAGAACAATTAAATTATTAAAAGAAAGAGAAGTGGGAGGGAGAGAGAGTGTGAGTTGAAGATAATAAATATGGGTAAAATAGGAAATCAACACAAAAAAGTAGAGACAACTTTTAAGTGTCTCTTATATATAAGAATATGCCATAAGCATCAAATGTCTTTTATAATAAGGAACGGAGGGGGTACAGGATATTACTTCCTATACTTAATATAAAAACTAGTTTTCAATGTACTTTATTTTTTAAATTTATAATTCATTCTCTAAACTATCTATATTGATTATATATTAAGAAAAATTTTAACCGAGAATAGTCATGATTAAAATGATACTTTAGGTAAATCAGCTTATATTTGTTATAAATAATAACAAATTTATTTAATCTGTTTAAATTATGAGTTATATATTTTTTCAGTATTAGAAAAGGATGGAGGTGGATATTTTAAAAATGTGTATTAGTTGCTAATTTCCATTCCATTTTTCTGGCAAAGGTCTATCTCAGTTTTAAAGGAAAATTATAATGAGATTCTAACAAACAAAAAAATTACTAAAAAACCTTAATAATGATCTAAACAGTTTTAATGACAAATTCTAAAATAAAAAAAAGAAACTTTTAAAATTTATTTTATAATTATTTTTTTTAAATCTGATTATAATTCTCTCTCTCTCTCTTTTTAAATTTCAATTTCAATGATTTATACGCGCAAGGGAGGATCCGGGCCGAAGAGGAGTGGCCATGGAGAACGGGGGGCAAGCTGCTTCCAAAGAAGACGTCATTGCTAAGTTGAAAGACGATGGTGACTTTGACAGGCTACGTTTGAAGATCGTTCGTAAGCTCAAGGACAATGTATGCTTTCTTTCTCAATTCGTCTCTTTCTTTCGATATATTCACCAGTTGCCGCCGATTCTGTTCTCTTTCTCTGTTTAGGGTTTTTAGATTTTAGGCGAAAATCGTCTTCAATCCAGATTTGCTTGATTTAGGCGAATTCGGATATCTTTGCTCTATTTGTCCTGGTTCGAATTGAATTGAACATGTGAATTTAAGTTCTGAAATTGTAGTTTGCACCGAAAAAAGTTTTTAAACTTGTAGTCGAATCCCGTGAACCTCAACTATTACTGGGCGACCTTCTATCCGGAGGAAAGTACCGAAATTGATGGTTATTAGCAAGCTTGTAAAGTTTTAGACCGTGGCTGAGTGTGCTAAATTTGAGTGTGGTTGACGCTCTTGGTCGTTCTTTAATGTGGTAATCTTAATTACAAACTTGCGGGCCATAAGTACTGAATCGAACAATTGATGATAGGAAGAGTTGCGAGAACACATCATTTCAATTGTGAGGCAGTCGGCGGTGCTTAATCGTGATGGAGCAGAAACTATGAAACCCAGACAACTTTCCGATGCCATATACGAAGAAGTTGGGTAATTCACCGTCTCCTCTTTTCTACTGTATAATTTTGAACTGCATTTTTGGAGTTTTCGCACGTCCTTATGATCTCCAAGCACATTCCACTGCCTAAACCTCTGGTATGTACAACAAACATTTAAAGTGGCTGGGTAAATTTCCATAGGAATAGACATTTTATCTTGATGAATTATCTATGTCCAGGGATAAAGTAATGAGCCAGATATCGAATAGTTTATGGCAAATAATCAGATCAGATGATGATGGCATGAAAAGTGAAATTACAGAAACAGTGCAATCTGTCTATGATAAACTGGTGAATCCAAAAGGGGAGGATGAGGTCCAGTTATCCCCCTCTGATGCGTTGTCATTTCAGACACAAGTTGAATTGGCTCCGGTTGCTGAAATGCATGATACGTCGCATGAAAAAGAGCCAAATGAGCCACCTGGTTTCACTCTTTCACATAATCATCTGAATAATCACCATGACGATCAGAATAGGGGAAAGGAGCAGACTAATGTGAATACTGGTGTAGAAGGATCTAATGCAGAGCAGGAAGAAGAGCACCACCCATCTCATGAGATGCATGATGCAGAAGATGCCTGTGATGATGGGCCACCTGGATTTTCAGTAGAGGCGGAGCACATCCCATCGTCCGATTGTGGCGATGAGGACCCTGATGTGCCTCCTGGTTTTGGTTGATGAGTTGTATTGTCGGAATGAATTCTAAATTTTGCGTTGATTGGATAACATGGCTATGGCTGGAAATTACAAATATCAATTTTAGCTATCAGTTTTGAAGCTGTCGTAAAACAATTTTGACATTCAGGAGGTCTCTTCGACAAGATGGATCTCTACAAGGTGCTCTTCCCTAAAATCATGGAAGAGATAGAGGGAGGAGCTAGCATTACTATTATTATTATTATTATTATTTGGTCGTAACATTTTCTTGTTCTCTTAAATTATTTCGCCAGAAACCTGACTTCAGAAATATTGTTTCGTTTCTTCACACATGAATGAAAGCTAATTTCGGGCCTTAAATGTTGGCATGATCATCTAGTAGAGGGAACCAGTGCTTATCACCTTAATTTACATTCTAGGTTTATCAAATCTGATTTGTCTAGATTTAGATTGTTCATATTCAAAATCTTTAATTAATTATTTTTAAATAAAAAACTATATTTTTTTTAAAAAAGTAACTTTATTTTAGATTATATGTATATTAAAATAATTATTTTGAACAAATAAAAATAAAAAAAGAATTTAATCTAAATCATCTAAATAAGATATGGAGGGTTCAGATTTGATAAATTTAAGATACTGATCGCAATTATGAGTTTATTTAATCTACTATTCTACCCCTTTCTCTCCGGCTGTTTTTGGAATCAAAACGGAATACAGAGCAGGATCTCCTTTCTGCGTAGGCCTAAAATACATTTAATCTTAGCTTTTAGATGGCAGCGTAGGCTTATGACTGCTTTGTTTAGGGGCCGGTATTGCTCTTCCATTTCAGTCTTGACAGCATTTTACTTTGTTGAAATGTCGCATTAGTTCTCCCAACAGCATATTGATATCCTTCAATTATCTTTAAAGAGGAAAAACTTTGGGTGAATCTAAAATAAGATGGAGGGATGAGATAACGTCCAAATGAAAGCGTGTTGTTGGCACTGGATCTGTTTAGAATAACTTATAAATAGTTTTTTAATCGTGATTTACGGAATACGGTTGAAAAGAGTTTTGTTTAAATTTATGTAAAATGTATTTGTGAGTAATATTTAAAACAATGCAAACAGGTGTATTTGTAAGTAATTTTTAAAACTACGCAAATTAAACAGGCATATGTCTATGGAAAGAAGCCGATGCTTGCGAGAGATAATTTTACGAGCAGCCATGGATATGATTATATATAACATTTCTAGTAAGCTGAACAATATGACTTAATTATACGAAGAACAATCATCTTTGTTCTGTCGGCTACGAGATTTTTAATCTGAAATTGGGTAATATTTTGCATTTTAGTTTACCTCTCCAGTGTCATGCAGCAGTGTATATATTTCACATTTCTGGGCTTCGACAAATCTTCTCGTCATCAAATTCGGATTTTAAATATGCATGGAACGGGCAAAGATATGAAAGCGATGGTAACGACAAGGACATAGATTACAATGACATTGATTTTAGTTTACCTTCGATACAAGGAAGATTATAAGAAAGCTTTTCTTCATAGTTCATATGCGGTAGGACAACTTTTAAACCATGACAATGGTGTTCCGAGACGTCAATACCTACCTTCCCAGTATCTCACTCAAACTTCACAGAGATGGGACTCCTAACACTCTGCTTCGCAGAGACCCATCGTAGATACCCTTGAGCATATTCCCTTGTTTTATTACCCGACCCAATTCGGCTGAAAGTGACCGAATACGTCTGCTTCTGGTTCACCTCCGAAAAATAAACCTTATTTGGTTGGACCTTCACGTCAACCTCCTCCGGTGCTGTAACCATGACAGCGTACGATGAATAACCTTCCCCGACATTTGTAACTGTTCTTGTGAATGTCTGGGAGGAACCAAGCACAACAGAAAACGAGGGGTAGTTGAGCTGTCCTTCGGGAATGCTCGATGTTTCCGAGCACTTAACTGGTCTGCGAGCAATGACCCCAACTTCCTTATCTCTGTACCCTAAACCACACAGATAAGGAATATAATCATCCGGTTCGATATCATAAACTAAACCCGGATCGTTTGCTCTTGATGGATTCACGTGGCCGGAGCCCGTGGCGAAGAGATCTGCAGGCTGAAGTTTTTCATCAAGAATGAGTTTACCTCCCAAATGTTGTGTGTCCGCCGTAGTCATGATAGCAGATTTTATAGCAGCTGGCGACCAATGAGGATGAGAGCTTTTGAGCAAAGCTGCAATACCACTCAGATGAGGGCACGCCATAGATGTGCCAGACATAATATTGAAATTGGGTTCTGATGAAGATGTAATGTTATTTGGTGGGAATGGCCAGGAGGCTAGGATGCTCACTCCAGGTCCAATGATGTCTGGTTTTAAAATCCCAGGGCTTACCAAGTTAGGACCTCGGGAAGAGAAGGACGCAACCGTAGGAGATAAGGGATTTCCTATGATAGTTCCTTTAAACAAGATGGTTGCTGTTGGTGTTGCCGTAGAATTTATATAGGCTTTCGTCTTCAGCCCAGCTTCATAGCTTACATGCGTTGCCGGCAGAACATGTACATCAGCTAAGGTACTGAAGCCATTAGCTTCATCATTCATGAAGATCATGGCAGCTCCACCAGCTCTTTTCACTTCTTTTCCTTTGTCAATTCTTCCAATGCCTCCTCCTCTCTCACATAAAACAATCTTGCCTCTGAAATCATCGCCAGTCAAGGATCCGTTAGCACAAAAGGCAGAATCTTCTTGGCCATTCTTGCCGGCATACACAAGTGGCAGCATTGTCGAAGGGAAGTCATGAGGCTGGAAAACAGATTCGCCGATAAATTCTTCCCCGTTTCCAAGCCTCGCAGTAGCTGCAATGGCTCTGTCGATGGTGCTTGCTCCAACTGTGAGAAGCCACGGCGCTCCATTAAAAATAGAGCCACTGGAAGGGCCAGAGTTTCCGGCCGCATTGCTTACAAATATTCCCTTCTGAATTGCTGCAAACGAACCAATCGAAATGGCGTCGTTAAAGAACGGCGACGCCTCATCGGAACCGATAGACATTGATATTACATCGACACCGTCCTCGACGGCGGCTTCCAACCCAGCAAGTATATCACTTTCAGGACAATCATCGAAGACACATACTTTGTAAATGGCTAAGTGAGCATGAGGCGCCATTCCTGATGCTGGGCCTTTGGCATTTCCTAGAACTTGCGCGTTTTCTACGAACGCACCTGCGGCTGTACTTGCCGTATGAGTTCCATGTCCATCATCATCAAACGGCGAGTCTACTTTCTGTCCCCTGGCCCTAGCCGCACTGTTGAACGATCTTGCTCCGATTATCTTGTTGTTGCATGCCGACGCATTCACCTCGCATCTGCCTTTCCATTTAGGAGGTGGGGGTGGAATTCCTGCATCACTAAACGAGGGATGGTCGATCACAGCGCCGGAGTCCAGCATTCCGATGATGATCCCCCTTCCAAAATTTGATTCCTTCCAAAATCCTGTGGTTTGCTGTAACCCCAAAAACTTGGGTGTGTGTGTGGTTTGGCGACGTAGGATTCTTTCAGGACGAGCTGATACAAAGCCATTTTTCTGCTGCATAGGTCTCAGTTCCTCCAGAGTGAGTCTTGCAGCAAAACCACTCATTACATTCCGATAAGAATAAAGCAGGCGCGGTTGTTCCTCGTCGGAGCTCATAATTGTCGGTGGGAAGAACGAACGGTACCAGCTCTCTAAATCTTCTGACTGCGCAAGTATCCTGCCCTGTGGTCGCTCGACATGGATAATGTATGTTTGTGGACTACTTTGAGCAGAATTACTGAAGAGGCTCAGCACGAAAACGAGAACAATAAAGCAGGAAGCTTCCATGTTTAGCAGAAACGCAGCTTTAGCTGTTGTCTAGTTGATTTGCGCTTTTGGACATATAAAGGAGTCGCGAGAGAGGAAGAAGGCCGGCACTTACATGTGAGTGGCCGGTTACTCTAGCGCCAATAACTCGTTCTGGATGGCAGGTAACGATCGAGCTTGGTCAGCACGCTTGTCTATCTTTTGGTTTTTTCTGTTATACGCTCAAGTCGGCAACCTGGAATTTTTAAATATGTTTGTGAGATTTCTGTTGTCTCACTCTGGACCTACTCCTTTCAAAACATGTTAATTTAAGTTTAGTGGGATGAGAAGAGAGACCTCGTCCTCTGAGCTTGCTTCTTCAACAATGGCCGTTGACTTAGATGCAATTCATATGGAGTGTTCTAGTGAAATTATGCACGGTGTCATGTACACAAATTTTCGTCACGTCTCTAAGTTTCTTTCTTTCATTCATTCATTTTTTGGCTGACAGAAGAAACGTTAAAAGAAAAAAGATAGAATGCTGGTCCAAAAAAAAAAGAAGAAAAAAGATAGAAAAGGACAAAATAAATCACGCAATAATCTAATAATGGACACGGTGGAATAACAGTGCACAATAGCCATCCTTTTAATAATAAATTGATGGGAAAAAGAAGGAGTGAAATATGCCTTGTTAGGGGTAGAGAGCCGGCTGGATTGACGCTTTGGGAATTTCCCCCCTTCTTAAGACTATTTGAACCTTTTATCCCCAGTTCATCCTTATCATTTTTGAAAATGACGCAGTGTTCAAGCATGAAATAACTAAACATGGTTTTCCATATATTGTACTCCTCCGGTCCTTATTATAAGACCCCATTTGACTTTTTATTTGGTCCTAATTATAAGACCCCAATCCATTTTATCTCTTATATTTATGCATTTTTTTCCAAGATAATCCTTCTAATAATGATAGTTTTAGCCAATATACTTAATTAGCAAGGATATTTTAGGAATGACAACACTTATTTATTATAAATAACCAACTTAACTTACTTCCTTAATCTCTTCAAATAAGTCAATTGGGTCTTATAATTAGGACCGGAGGAGTATAAAGTTTATAAAATAATAAATTGAGTTGTTTATGATTTGTTCATAATATCACCTGCTATATAGTTTATGATATACATGTGTGTGTCAAACATTGATAAAATTAATTATTTAAATATATTTATTATTTTATTAGTTAACCTAAATTAAACATAATAATAAACAATTTTTTCACAACAACAACAACATATAATATAATTTTAATGATGAAGTAAAATACTTAATGAATTGGTTAGTTAAAGAACTATAAAATTCTAAACAACTTCGATAGATTTATGAATCATGGTATCATGAATTTCATCGGTGGCACTGGTCTTTTAAAATAATTCAAATAGTAAACATGCGACAAAAGCATAGCAAGCTATTCCAACTACAATTAAGACAATTCAAATTAGATATAAACAGTCCAAATATAATTAGCTTAGGGTGTTGATTAAGGTGAAAAGTACTAAAATTGGTTCCAAGACGAAAGATCATTTTATATTTTAAGAATTAATTCACTACTCATCGCAGTGATGAGTACCATCATGCTCATTGTTGTAGTGAAATTTAAATAATTTAAAATTAGTTTTAATAATTTAGATTTAAAATTGAACTAGTAAATTTTAAATAAAAAATATTTTTAAAAAAACTTATAATTAAAAGAGTATATTTATTTTGAATTATGCATCTATTAAAAGAAAAATATTTTTTTTAAAAAATTAAATATTAAATATTAAATCTTTACTGTTTATATAAAATTTAAATAGTTAAAATTTGAGGAGTATCACGTTACTCACCACTCTATTCCTTCACGGACGAGTGATGCAAAATAGAATTGCGCTCCTCAGCTTTTGTCAAATAGTCTCGTGTGATTACCTGTGGAGCTGTTTCCTAATTTTGTTCGCCCACTTTTCCATTTTTTTATCATCAACCCCTATTGAGCAAAGAATCAGAAAAAATGACTCCCAGTCTCCCAGAGACTCATTAATTTCAACCCATCTGATTACTGTAATTACCAAAATTTTACAAAATAAACATCACTCGTTCTAATTTTTCTCGAACATGCAAATAATTATTTAAAATGATTAGTTCGAGCAGAAATTGACATCAAAGAGAGACATCCATATAAACTCCGAGCGGTAGAAATAGAAACTTTGCAGACATCTGATTCATGTCCTTTATTTTTGTAGTGTCATGCCACAAATATTTCACTCGAAGGTGACCGCTATGGGGATGCGCACGGTGTGTTTATCAGAGATCCACGTGAGTTGCCCCTGGGAAAACCCTAAATCTTCTCTAAATTTTTTAGGTAGCGGAGTAAAATCGACTGAATATGCAACCCGCTGATTCAACCCTGTGAATTTTATCTGGCGAGGGTTCACGTTCATCACAACTCCCTCAGGCACGTCAAGTTCCAAATTGTAAACAGAATTTTCAGATCCAACATTTGTTACCGTTCTGGTGTAAGTCTGCGAAGAAGACCCCAGTTGAATAGAAAATGAGGGATAATTTAGCTCTGCTTCCGTTATGCTTTTAATCTCCAAGCACGTCACTTTCCTTTGCAAAATAACTCCAACTTGTCTGTCTGTGTAGCCCAACCCACATAAATATGAAACGTAATCTTCTGGGTGGATATCATAAACAAGACCAGGATCGTTTGCTTTGATCGGGTTCACATGTCCTGCACCAGTTGCAAAAACATTTGCAGGTTGAAGCCTTTCGTCCAATATGGGTTTTCCTCCTAGGTTAACTGTCTCAGCAGTGGTCATAATTGCTGACTTAATGGCTGCAGGAGACCAATCTGGGTGCGAGCATTTGAGCAGAGCGGCAATGCCACTGAGGTGAGGGCAAGACATTGAAGTACCAGAAATGATCATGAATGGTGTCGTAGAGTTGTCCACAGACACAGGCCATGCAGCTAGGATGTTCAATCCTGGTCCTATAATGTCTGGTTTAAGAATGCCGGGGCTTGTAAAGCTTGGACCTCTCGAAGAAAATGAGGTAACTGCTGGAGCCAGCGGATTCCCTATCACTGTTCCGTTGAATAAGATTGTTGCTGTGGGTGTGGTCGTTGAGTTTATGTAATTTTTAATAGCCAACCCATCCTTGTAGCTCACGTGTGTAGCAGGAAGAACATGCACATCAGCAATGGGATTAAACGCCTCATCTTCACTGTTCATAAGGATCATGGCGGCTCCACCGGCATTTTTAACTTCTTGCCCTTTGTCGACTCTTGCAATGTGACCACCTTGCTCGCATAACACAACCTTTCCCTTAACATCCACGTTCTGTAACGATCCAGGGGCACAAAATGTTGATGATTCGTTCCCGTTTGCACCAGCATATACAAGAGGCAATGGCGTTGAAGGAAAGTCCTTTGGCTGGAACACAGATTGCCCCTCGTATTGTGCACCACTTCCAAGGTTCGCTACTGCTACGATTTTTCTGTCTGTGGAACTTGCACCAACGGTTAGAATCCATGGGGCTTCATTGGACAAAGTGGTATTTTCAGGACCAGTGTTACCAGCTGAACAGGCTACAAAAACCCCCTGTTGAACTGCACTGAAAGCACCAAGGGCTATTGAGTCATGGAAGAAAGGAGACGAGAGACCACCAATAGACAGAGAAAGAACATCCACACCATCTTCAACGGCAGCGTCCATTGCAGCTAGGATTGCACCTTCAGAACAACCATGTAATTCGCACACTTTGTACATTGCCAAGTGCGCTTTGGGTGCCATACCAACTGCTATGCCCTTAGCGTTGTCGAAAACACTGGCGTTTTGGACGAATCTTCCGGCGGCTGTGCTGGCTGTGTGAGTTCCATGACCCACTTGATCAAACGGTGGGTCTACGGGTAAAGTTGAGTTTTTGACGAAGTTTCTTGCACCGATGAGCTTGTTATTACAAGTCCTCTCTCCGTTGAATTCGCAGAAGCCTTTCCATTTTGCCGGTGGAGGCGGCATTCCTTCGCCGGAGAAGGAAGGGTGGTAGGGTTGTATGCCGGTGTCCAAAAGTCCGATTATGATGCCCTCGCCGAAATTGGAGTCTTCCCACAATCCGAGTCCTTGTTGCAACCCTAAGAAGCTTGGCGTATGAGTTGTGTGCAAAGAGTATATCTCTTCGGGTTTTGCTGACATAATCTCTTCCTTTTCTTCCAGAGCTTTCGCTTCTTCTGGAGTTAACATGGCAGCAAATCCAGAAACGACATTTTTGTATGAGAAAACCATGCGCTGTTGGTTCTGAGTTTGTGCAGTGGCGGGCAGTAATGAATGGTACCAGTTATGTAACTCCTCGTACTGAAGGGAAGCAACATCGTCAGACTTTTTAACGTGAACGATGTAAGTCTGCAAGTTGCTTCCAAGTTCTGGATTTTGAGTGGCTGAAGAGGTAGGACTCACTATAAGCATGGAAATGAGACCAAGAAGAAATGCAAGCTTCATCTTGGTTGACACTCTTTGCTTGGCTTTCTCCATGCTCTAACATACGCTATTTATATATATATATATATATATATATGCGTATGTGTGTTTGTGTATGTATATGTGGGTGTCTTTTATATTCAAAGAGCAACATAGGTTTTCACAATAGGGGATCTCCCATCGGTAAGTAAAGACGCCGTTCTTATCAATGTCCAGCTGCTTTGTGCCTCTATAGGCTCTATAGGAATTATCAAAGTTTTAAGTAAACTAAGCCGCGTTTGCATGGTAATACTCGCTCTATACATACCATGCCGGTATAAAACATTAAAACTTTTCACTCGATGTAAGGCTAGCTATAGGAATTTATGGCAAAGAGAAATCATATTTATGAACATCACTTTGTTTACTATTCTGAAATGAGATCAAAGAAAATCTCTTACTTTCCAAAATATGTAGTTTAAATTTATATAATGAGTCAGTTTCAATACTCATCACTTTAAACTCATTATATCTGAATCATTCATATATCATTTGGATAGTTCATATTTAATTTTTTTTATTTATTCAAAGTAATTATTTTAATATGTATATAATCTAAAATATAGATAATCTTTTAACTATCATTCTTTAAAAAAATAATTTTTTCTATTTAAAAATAATTAGTTAAAGATTTTAAATCTGAACCGTTTAAATCAGATATAGACAGACCAGATTTGATGAATTTAGGGTATTGATCAAGATGATGAGTATTGATATATCCATCTCTCATGGAGGGCCTTTGTGATAAAAACCAAAGCGTAATACGTCATACCTGTGTACAAGAAACAGAGGATCTGCCTTATGCTCAACTTATTATTAAGACATTCTCATGTTCAAATCTACGCCTCTCAGAAGCGTAAAGAATCGTACGAACCTAATTTTCGGAGTTGCTTTCATTTTTCAATTGGATATATATACTTTTATGAATGTATTTAGATTTAGATTTAGATTTATGGTGTTTGAATTAGTTTATTTTAAATGATTTTGTACTCTAGGAAGTAAGTATTTAAAATTTTGGATGAAATACTGTCTTATAAAATACAAAAAAAAAGATTTAAGTGATTATATTTCATTATACATAACTAATCATAGAAGTTATTATATGAGTTTATTTTATATAACTAATAGTAGGTTTGTTGTTGTTGCATGGAGTACGTACGAGAAATGATTCATATTGCTTCTAGTTCATAGACAGTCTTGTTGAAATTTTCATATACAATATAAATATAAAGTTTAATTTAGACATCATTTTTCTTTTTTGTGTGTAATGCACGAAAAGGGATCATAACTTTAAAAGTTTTAAGGGATTGTACTCATTTGTTTTTCATATACTGATTGAATTTCATACATTTATATGTTCTATTACTAGCCAGTTTCATGTTAGTTAATTTATGAAAGGAAATAATAAAGTTCCAATATTGGTTTTCACGTCTCTAGTTGGGAGGACAGTCAAAAATTGAAAACAGAAGCATAGACTGATTATGTGCTCGATGCGGACAGAGTTTGGAATAAGACACACTGCTAAACCAATTTGAAAAAGAAAAAATGATAAAAAAAAAAAAGAAGAAGAAGCTAAACATTACTAAATGCTAAATAAAGAAGTAAACAAAAATTTGTTATTATTTGCAAATATAGTGTTGTTACCAAAACTGATTTGAAATTTAGTGCTTGTTTAGTTTCTTATTTTGAAAACAATTTTTGGTTTTTAAAAACAGAAAAACAAAAAAACTTGTTTGGCAATTTGTTTTTAGCTGATTGTTTTAAAAAAACAAAAAACAAAAATATATTTTTAAAAACTGAAAAACTAAAACAACTTTTACGTGTTTTTTGTTTTTGTTTTTCTTTTTTATTTTTTTGTTTTGAAAAATTAGAGAAATCTTCTTCTTTTCTCTTCTACTACTTACTACTTATCACTACCAGTGATAACTATTACTTGTCAAAATATAATTTTTTTATATATTTTTTTCAAATGTGATTCTTTAAAAATTATTTTCCAAACAAATTTTTTTGTTTTTTGTTTCCAAAACTTGTTCTTAAAAACAATTTTGTAAAATTGTTTCGAGAATAAAAAAACAAAGAACAAAAACAAACAGGCCCTTAGTAATTTTCAACTTCCTTTTTTTTTCCTTTGAAAAAGCAGAAAACGTCAAAAAAAAAAAGTCTTCGGTGTTTCACTCTAGGTTAGGTAACACAATTGTAATTTTAGTATTTTACAAATAAACGAATTTATAACGGCATATACAATTAAACATCTTCATTTACGCATGACCAAATCAAAAAACTCGAATATAATTCTTATTATTGTTTTTGTCAATTTGACATGAAAATAAAGGCGAATTAATTTTCGGTTTCAAGTAATAATAAAAATATATGCTTTTCAATGGTTAAGTTTTTGCAACTGAAATTGATTTTCAAGAAATAAAAATAGCAAACGAAACAGAATATATAATTTATATACACGCACATATAAACCAAACGCATATAACACTAGAGTGACCCACATGCGCGTATAAAATTATTAGGGGAAAACAGCTTTTTTAGTTAGATAGTTTCAAAGTTACAGCTGTCAATAAGTATAGGGAAAAATTGGAATTCAAGTCAAAAAAACCGTATACGTTTATCAGGGGATCTGCAGCTTAAAGATGTTTGATCGAGAAAGAAACCTGGGGCTGAAATTGTATATATCATGGGTCATCGTGGGGAGGAAATCAAAGTTACATGAGAAAGTGCTTATGAGCTAGCTCGTTTGGAAGGATTGATGGCCTAAGCAGAAACAAAAAAGAAAAAAAAATTCCATCTGAATTCAAAAGTTCATGAAAATTCACGATGACTATCAGCCATGCAAGAGAGATAATCAAATATTTAAAGCATCGCATCGCTGCGAGAGGCACTGGGATGAATATATGGAGCCATTTGACTCCTTTATTTCGCCAGTAAGATGGTGTGCCTTCAACCATTGGCTTTCATCACTGGAAAATGACAGATACGGGGATTCTAACAGTGTGTTGTTTAGAAACCCACGAGAGGGAACCCTGGGCAATGGAATGATTGCCCCTGTTTTCTTTGATTTGTGGGATGAACTCAACCGAGAAAGTAGCCTTCTGGTATACCTCTGAGAAGGTTATCTGAGTTGGGTTTACGCTCATACCTAACGCCAGGGGCACCTCAAGCTTCAGTGAGTAAGTTGAATTGGCGGGTCCAACATTAGTCACTGTCCTGGTGTAGTACTGTGAAGTAGATCCCATAAGAATAGAAAATGAGGGATAGTTGAGTTGTGCTTCTGGTATGCTTCTGATCTCCGAGCATCTCACTTTCTTCTGCACAATCATGGTAATTTGCCCATCTGTGTAACCTAAACCACACAAGTAAGGAACGTAATCATCAGGATGGGTGTCATAAACAAGCCCCGGATCACTTGCTTTATTTGGATTAACATGTCCAGCCCCAGTGGCGAAGATGTCAGCAGGAAGAAGCCTTTCATCCAGAATCGGCTGGCCTGCTAGATTTAAGGTATTAGCAGTGGTCATGATTGCCGACTTTATGGCTGCCGGAGACCATTCAGGGTGAGCGCTTCTGAGCAGAGCAGCAATGCCGCTGAGATGAGGGCAAGACATTGAGGTACCAGAAACAACGTTGTACGCGGGTATTTTTTTGTCTACAGACACACCCCATGCTGCGAGAATGTTCACACCGGGACCAATTATGTCAGGTTTAAGAATGCCGATGCTTGCCAGGCTTGGACCTCTGGATGAAAAGGAAGCTACGGCTGGAGTGAGTGAATCCCCAATTATAGTTCCTTTAAATAAGATTGTTGCTGTTGGTGTGCTGGTCGAATTAATGTATTCCTTGATCACTAATCCAGCAGCGTAACTCACATGAACTGCAGGGAGAACATGAGCGTCAGAGAAGGTGTTGAAACCAACGGGCTGTTTGTTTATAAGGATCATGGCAGCCCCACCGGCATCCTTCACTGTTTGTCCTTTTATAATTGTGGAAATATCGCCACCAAGCTCACATAAAACAATCTTTCCCTTAACATCCATGTTCTTCAAGGAACCTGGGGAGCACCAGACAGAGGACTGGTTTCCACTGGAACCTGAATACACAAGAGGCAATAACTTAGAAGAAAAGTTTTTCGGTTGGAATAAAGTTTGGCCGTCATATTCTGCTCCGTTCCCAAGCCTTGCCATTGCTTTGATTGTTCTATCAATGGTGCTTGCGCCTACTGTGAGAATCCACGGAGCCTCATTGGACAGAGTAGCATAGTTGGGGCCAGAGTTAGCGGCCGAGCAACTAACAAAAATGCCCTTTTGAACAGCGGTAAATGCACCTATTGCAATCGGATCATCGAAGAAAGGAAGGGAGCCCAAGCCAAGTGACAGAGAAAGCACGTCCACGCCATCTTCAATGGCAACATCCATTGCAGCTAACATTGCACTCTCGGGACACCTTGTGTCGTCGCAAACTTTGTACATTGCCACGTGAGCTTTAGGTGCCATGCCAGCTGCTGTGCCTTGAGCATTTCCAAAAACGTTGGCGTCCTCCACAAAGTTTCCGGCGGCTTCGCCGGCTGTGTGGGTTCCATGAAACAAGTTTTCAAAGGGAGGTTCTTGCTTTGCATTTTTCACTAAATTCCTCGCCCCGATAAGCTTGTTGTTACAAGTCCTCTGTCCGTTGAATTCACAGTAGCCCTTCCACTTTGAAGGGGCTGGCGGCATGCCTTTGTCGGAGAAGGAAGGATGGAGTGGGTATATTCCGGTGTCTATAACCCCAATTATGACGCCTTCACCAAAGTTGGACTCTTTCCACAGCCCCGATCCCTTTCTCAAACCCAGGAAGCTTGGGGTGTGGGTAGTGTGTAGAGAAAGTGTCCTTTCGGGACGAGCCGACACAATTTCGTCCTTCTCTTGCAGAGCCTTGGCTTCTTCCTCTGTCAATCTCACAGCAAATCCCGACACAGCATTTCGATAGGAGAAAACCATGCGATCCTTGAACGAGGCTTCTGTGGTAGTTGGCAGAAACGATTGGTACCAGTTATGCAGCTCTTCGGATTGAGGAGAAGCGATACCATCGGGCTTTTTGACACGAACGACGTAGGTTTGCAGCTTTCCCTGCTCTTGGCTTTCAGAATTTGAAGCTGGAAAGATGCTGAGCAGGCAAAGCAGACCAGTAAGCAATGCAAGCCTCGTCATTGCGAGAATGCCTAGCTCTGCTTAGAGACGAAGTCCTCAAATTGGACTGCCTTGAATTTGTGTGACTTGCCATGCATGAATATATAGCACAAAACATAGAGGTCAAGTACTGCTCACATTGCTCTTCACGACGGGGACTTGCAAATTGATATATGCGGGCCAAGGGCGGCTTGTTTCTTGTTCGTAGCTTTTTGTTAAATATTTATATTTAACATAATGTTAAGGTAAAATGAATACCTTATATTGAGCCACTCGCATAAGAGTGCCCACTTGACGCACGTCGTGCAATAACATTATTCCTACATGAATCATTGCCACGTGTTCATACTACACGTACATCCATTACGGAAATGCTCTTCATGAACTAAAAAAAAGAAAGAATTAAGTCATACTATCTCCGGTCCTAATTATAAGAGTTAGTTGACTAATTTAAAAAGATTAAGAAAATAAGTTAAGTTAGTTATTTATAATAAAAAGTATTTGGATGAAACCAAATCATGGTTTGGAGAATAGATTTTGGAAAGAATAGATTTTGTGAAAAAAGTGATTCTTAGAAGTGAGAGTGTCTGGATAATTATTATCAGAAACACTTTTTATATACACAAATTACTAAAAAAAGTATAAGTTAATATGATAATTACATAAAAGATGGATTTTATGATATATTTTTATTTGAAGAAATAAAATTGTTAATAATATATTTTTTTACCAACATAGGTAATAATACATAAGATAATATAATTAATAAATAATTAATATCTGTATATATTTATAAGATATAAGATGAAATATGTTTATAAAAAAATAATTGAGGGATGTTAACGTCGTATTATTATTGAGATTTATTCTAACAGGTAAAATCATACTCTCCAATTTGAGTCAGAAACAGAATGGATTCACTTCTTCTGAAACAAGAGTTTTGGGCTCCAAAACCATGGTTTCGGATTATTTCTCCAAAATTGATGCTGTTTGAGTAACATCCCACCCAAATTATGGTTTTGCCTTCCAAACCATAGTTTTGAGAGACACCCAAACAGATCCTAAATAGGTGTTATCTTTCCTAAAATATCATTGCTATTCAAGTGTGTTGGCTAGAACTACCCTTATTAGAAGGACTATTTTAAAAAAAAAAAACATAAATATTAAAGACAAAGAAGATTGGGGTCTTATGTCTAGAACCAAAATAAAAATCAAATAAGATTTTATACTAAGAACAGGATGTAATATATTAGACATGGATTTTTGAATAATTGGTTATAACGTCCCTTGTTATGCGCGGGGGAGAATAAATAATTTTATGCTTCCCCTAAACAGAGCTTGGTCAGTGAGAATTCATCATGCATTGAGCATGTTGATCAGTTTAAGCAGGCCAGGACTCAAATTGTAGCATACTGCGCGCGCGCGCGCACTCATATAAATAGTTGATAACTAATGAGCTTCCTTTTATCTTTCCTGCTATATTATTTTCTATACGATAGCATCGGCTAATTTATATGTAGTTTTTATTAATACTGTCATAAATTAAGAAAAGTTCATTATGTGTCCTGTCTTTGCATCTCCTACCTAGTAAAGCTCCGTGCAACGTACATGGAAGACATTCTTGTAATCACTTTTAAATAAGTTATAATTGTAAGTAAATTCCATGAAAAACATAGCCTGCATGTTGTTGGATATTTCAATACTTCGCCATATATAAACATTAAGGTGTATGCACTAAACAAATCGTACATGTGCAATAAAAAAATAAAATTAAAATAAATTATTAAAAACTTTTCCGCACACAACATTTTGATTTAATTTGTGTTGGTTGCAAGTCTCCCATATACAATAAGAATTAGGATTTTCAAATCCTTTTTGCTGCATACATGGAATACACCTACGCATATTGACTATGTATAAATATAGATACAGGTAAAAGTATAACCCAGCATTGCGTTGACTTTGACTTCATAGAAATGGCTTTTATACATGTTAAAATGCTGTAAGTCTGTAGCCTTGAATCATATTGAGATGGTGATCGATGTAGCCATGTCCAAGAAATGGGGGAAAAAAAATACTCCTCCGGTACTAAATATAATACCCTTATACTAGTGTGTATACGGGTTTTATATTTAGGACCGGAGGAGTAGCTTCATAATTCTAACATTGATAACATCACCATTACTTTAATCTCATATCTTCACAACCATAGAACATGTCATTCCATGCATAGGCCAAGTGATTCATCAATATTTCTAAATGGAAGTCATCATGCATCGATGAAATCCATATTCCTATCTTGCTGGCACTCTATATCAAAGAAAAAGTATATGCTTGTATATAGATGTTTACGTTTGGGGGGGAAAACACAGTGCTAAATGAGCCGATTGGCATCTATAGACGGATCGTTTTTAAAGTCAATCTTAATTCGACTCAATTTTATAAATTTGTATAGTGTACTTCTAATAGAATAAAAATTATAGTCTAAGGTTTGGCCGGTAAGAATAGGGGTGGAGTGAGATGGAGGTAATGGCCAGATGTTCGAGGGATTAAACTCTATATGATATGACTAAAAATATACTCCTCCGGTCCTTAATATAGGACCCAATTCTTGTGTTGGTTTTGGTCCTAAATATAAGACCCATTTCTCATATTTATCAATTTTCTCTAAAATACCCTTATGGATACTCCCTCAACCATGATCAAGTAGAAGAGGGAGAAGGGGTATTAAGAAAGATGAGTATGATGTTTTAGGAAAAATGTGGCATTTTTCCTATAATTAACTAACTTACCTAACTTCTTTAATTTAATCAAATTAGTTAAATGGGTCTTATATTAAGGACCGGAGGAGTATTATAGTTTATATAAATTTCAAAAAAAAAAATGAATTAAAACAGAATCATATAGAAACCTCATGTGTATACTTAAATTGATAAAAACTCAAAAGCCATGCACATATGTGGACGTATAATTACCAAGCATGGTATGGGGGAAAACGGAATTTTAGTCAAATATAATTACTAATTTTTTTAACCATCTCAGTCAAATTATTAATTGCTACTACTAGGTCTAATTAATTTGTTCCCTTGGAATGCTCACTTCTCCGGGTCGTCATCAGCTTAAAGAAGATCGGGAAACAAAATTTGGGCAGAAATCAAATTTCATGGGTAATCGGAGAGAGGATTGATGGTTAGTTCAGAAACTCATAAAAGAAAATAATCCCATCAGAAGTTCATGAAAATTGATCACGATGATCATCAGCCATCTGACTGGAACAAAATGAACAGTAGCGAAATATTCTAACATTAAAAGTAGAAATATTTATTCCACAGATGCCAAGAGCCTTGGAATGAATACAAGGTGGTGTGACGTTCATCATGTGAAAAGGACAGATATGGGGATTCTAACAGTGTGTTGTTTAGAAACCCACGAGAGGGAACCCCGGGCAAAGGAATGGTTGCCTCTGTTTTCTTTGATTTGAGGGATGAACTCAACCGAGAAAGTAGCCTTCTGGTATACCTCTGAGAAGGTTATCTGAGTTGGGTTTACGCTCATACCTAACGCCAGGGGCACCTCAAGCTTCAGTGAGTAAGTTGAATTGGCGGGTCCAACATTAGTCACTGTTCTTGTATAGTACTGTGAAGTAGATCCCATAATAATAGAAAATGAGGGATAGTTTAGTTGTGCTTCTGGCATGCTTTTGCTTTCCGAGCATCTCACTTTCTTCTGCGCAATCATGGCAATTTGTCTATCTGTGTGACCTAAACCACACAAGTAAGGAATGTAATCATCAGGATGGATGTCATAAACAAGCACCGGATCACTTGCTTTATTCGGATTAACATGTCCAGCACCAGTGGCGAAGATGTCAGCAGGAAGAAGCCTTTCATAGAATCGGCTGGCCTGCTGGATTTAAAGCATTAGCAGTGGTCATGATTGCCGACTTTATGGCTGCCGGATACCATTCAGGGTGAGCGCTTTTGAGCAGAGCAGCAATGCAGCTGAGATGAGGGCAAGACATTGAGGTACCAGAAACAACGTTGTACGCGGGTATTTTGTTGTCTACAGACACACCTCATGCTGCGAGAATGTTCACACCAGGACCAATTATGTCAGGTTTAAGAATGCCGATGCTTGCCAGGCTTTGACCTCTGGATGAAAAGGAAGCTACGACTGGAGTGAGTGAATCCCCAATTATAGTTCCTTCGAATAAGATTGTTGCTGTGGGTGCGTTGGTTGAATTAATATATTCCTTGATTGCTAACCCAGAAGCGTAACTCACGTGAACCGCCGGGAGCACATGAGCTTCAGAAAAGGTGGTAAAACCAGAGGACTGTTGGTTTATAAGGATCATGGCAGCTCCTCCGGAATCCTTCACTGTTTGTCCTTTAGTAATTCTGGAAATATTGCCACCAAGCTCACATAAAACAACCTTTCCCTTAACATCCACATTACTCAAGGAACCTGGGGAGCACCGGGCAGAGGACTGGTTTCCATTGGAACCTGCATGCACTAGAGGCAATAATTTGGAAGAGAGGTTTTTCGGTTGGAACAAAGTTTGGCCGTCATGCCCCATTTCCAAGCCTAGCGGTTGCTTTGATTGTTCTGTCAATGGTGCTTGCGCCTACTGTGAGAATCCACGGAGACTCATTGGACAGAGTACCATAGTCGGGGCCAGAGTTAGCGGCCGAGCAACTAACAAAAATGCCCTTTTGAACCGCGGTAAATGCACCTAATGCAATTGGGTCGTCGAAGAAAGGAAGAGAGCCCAAGCCAAGTGATAGGGAAAGCACGTCCAATGGCAATGTCCATTGCAGCTAACATTGCACTTTCGGGACAATCCACCATTTCGTCGCAGACTTTGTACGTTGCCACGTGAGCTTTAGGTGCCATGCCAGCTGCTGTGCCTTGAGCATTTCCAAAAACGTTAGCGCCCTCCACAAAGTTTCCGGCGGCTTCGCAGGCTGTGTGGGTTCCATGAAACAAGTTTTCAAATGGAGGTTGTTGTTTTGCAGTCTTCACTAAATTCCTCGCCCCGATAAGCTTGTTGTTACAAGTCCTCTGTCCGTTGAATTCACAGTAGCCTTTCCATTTTGAAGGGGGTGGCGGCATGCCTTTGTCAGAGAGGGAAGGATGGAACGGGTATATTCCGGTGTCTATAACCCCAATTATGACGCCTTCACCAAAGTTGGACTCTTTCCACAGCCCCGATCCCTTTCTCAAACCCAGGAAGGTTGGGGTGTGGGTAGTGTGCAGAGAAAGGGTCCTTTCGGGACGAGCCGACACAATTTCATCCTTCTCTTGCAGATCCTTGGCTTCTTCCTCTGTCAATCTCACAGCAAATCCAGACACAGCATTTCGATAGGAGAAAACCATGCGATCCTTGAACGAGGCTTCTGTGGTAGTTGGCAGAAACGATTGGTACCAGCTGTGCAGCTCTTCGGATTGCAGAGAGGCGATACCATCAGTTTGTTTGACATGAACAATGTAGGTTTGCAGCTTGCCCTGCCCTTCGCTTTTAGACTCTGAAGCCGGAAAGACGCTGAGCATGCAAAGCAGAGTAATAAGCAATAGAGGCCTCGTCAATGAGACAATATGCTTAAAGAAAAACAAGCGGGCTTCGATTGCTTGAGTCGGTATGCCTTGCCCTGCAAGTATATATATGTGTGTGTGTGTGTGTCGCGCTCGCGCTGGTAGGTCCCATGCATTCCAGCTCCTCCGTAAAATATTCTGCTCGTCACTTTCCATCTATGTCTCACGTTTTCGATCCTAGAAGAGATATATTTATTCGGGTGTCAACGACGAACATCATAACTCCTCACGACTGGGTCCTGCAGTATGCGGGCCTTGGGCGGCTCCCCCCCCCCGGGGGGTCCTTGTTGATAGTTAATTGTTAATGATTATTTAGTTATTATTATTAACCAAAATAATGGACGCATCACATAAAGTTTAAATATTAAGCTACTCTTCGGCCAACAAAAAAAATATTAAGCTACTGGCAATGCATGGAAATGCCCGCCTTCGGGCCGCGACTCGATTACTATAGAATCATCGCCGCATGTTCACACCATCCTGCACGTCCATCTATTACGGCAATTCATAATCTGTGGTTCCTAATTTTGAACGGGAGCATTTATGTCCAAATAAATTATAGAGTAAGACTAAAATAAATAAGAGAATTGAAGTGGAGGGATTAATAAATAACCAACCAATAAGCTTTGATGCCCTTGGATGGACCTGATAATGGGCTGGGCCTGTAGAAATGGCAAAACATGGGCTAGAATTTCCTACAATACGGGCTGTATGCTGTGATGCGGGCTGAGGCAAGAACTACGTGTTCGCTGAACCATGGCCTGTCTCCTGAGAATCCAACAACAATATCAGTTTTTTTTAATCAAAAAGCAGAGTCTTCTACCAAAAACGGGGCACAATTAAGCTTGAAAATTACACTACGCGCAAAAGAGAGCGGCTAATTTGCTTCCACTTTGTCTTCACGGAGACGAACGTAAAACCCAGTTGGGATGTTCCTAAATAAATTACGTCTTCACCAATGCTTGGATTTAAGAAAGGCTGATGCTTCAAAATTTATCCCTATATTTTGTTATTTTCTGGCACGGGTTCAAATCCGCTGCCTTCATAAAATTAATTGCATGTAATATATTTAAAGAGAAGAATTAGAAAATTATAATGAGCGGTATGATTACAAAACTTTAACCTGACATAAACCTGGGCCAACATTAATACTCCTCCGATCCTTAATATAAGACCCATTTAACTAATTTGATTAGATTAAGGAAGTTAGGTAAGTTAGTTAATTATAAGAAAAGTGACACATTTTTCCTAAAACACCATAATCATCTTTCTTAATACCCCCTCTCCCTCTTTTACTTGATTATAGTTGAGGGAGTATTCATAGGGGTAATTTAGAGAAAATTGATAAATATGATAAATGACTCTTATATTTAGGACCAAAACCAACTCAAGAATTGGGTCCTATATTAAGAACCGGAGGAGTACATTATTTTCAAAATCTCAAATTAAAAATTACTTTTAAAATGTGTTGTTAAATATAATAAACAAAACTAATTTAGAATTTTAAAATTTTAGAAGTATTTGTAAAACTTTTATGGCAAATAAAAATTAAGAATATAAAATTAGATATAGTGGTGGTTGGCCCCAAAAAAAAAAAAAAGCTACGTTGTGGAAGGGATGGATGGTTCCAGAAGGAAGTGGCGAGCAGGTGAGTCCGCGCGCGGAAAGCTATCGACTTATGAGAGTGCATGACTCAAATCGATCCGATGGAAGAATTATAATTACGCGAAAATGGCATTCTTAAGGTCAGTCGCAACAACCACGACTGCCATAGCTGCTTCTGCAATTCCTGCAGCTTTCGCCTTTTCAGCTCTTTCATCATCGCCATCCTCTTCCTCCCAATCTCCCAAAGTCCCACACCTTCCCTTCCTCTCCATTTCTCAATCGCTCCGCTTCGGTCTTCTCAGGACATTTGCTAACCCCGGCCCAGCTCTCCACATGGACGCCCCAACCTCTCAACACAGCCCTTCTTCTCAGGTTCGCCATCATCTATATCGAACTTTTGTCTTCTTATATTGATTCGCCTATAGTCTGAACTATTTATTGTTATTTCTCTTTCTCTTGATAGGCCGATGCTGTTTTGCCGGATTTACTGGTACGTTTGACAATTTAGTCTGAAAGCACTTGTCTCCTTTTCTTTTATATTTGGATTGGATGGAATCCTCCTCATGCCTTTGTTGCTTCGCTGGGCTTTTAGTTGTTAGTTTGCTCAGCTTTAGCTAAATCTGCTCCTGGTGTGTTCTGCAGTTCCATATTTTAAAATCTGTACCACTTCCACACTTGTGTAGTATGTTGGAGTGAAATGTCTAAATACCGCTGGAGATAATTCAGATTTAATAATTCGAAGGTTATCTTTATTGAGATTCCAAGCATATCATCGTTTGAAGGCTTAGAATTTTTGTTATATTGGAGTGTTATCTCTTTATGCCATTATTTCTAGGAGTTTAAATTACAGTTGATCTCTATTGCATAGTAATACGCATAAAAGGGAGGGGGACTGCCCCAGGGTGTAAGTCCCTGTTTTTTGTTCATTCAAGGATCTCGTTCTCTTGCTCTATCAAATTCTCAGTTTGTAAATGTTGTCAAGAAACTCTTTTGCAACAAAAATGACTTGCTGATCATCTGGTGCTTTAATGTTTTATGGTTAATTTGGTGCCAGACGGAATACATGGTGGATATGAAATGTGAAGGCTGTGTTAATGCGGTCAAGAATAAACTACAGTCAGTAAATGGTAGGCTTTCTGATGTATCGTTCTAAGTGACCTGTTTAGCATTTTTAATTCCAATGATAGGTTGTTTCCTTTGTTATTCGTTCTGTCACATTTACCAGGAGTGAAGAACGTTGAAGTGGATCTGAGTAATCAGGTTGTTAGGATTCTTGGTTCCACACCAGTGAAGACGATGACTGAAGCTTTGGAACAGACTGGCAGAAGAGCCCGATTGATTGGACAAGGGGTGCCTGAAGGTTGGCCTGTTAAATTCTCGATGTTATTGTATGCCTATTAGTTGCCAATTTGATAATATTTTTCTTTTAGAGTGATAATTTTCTGTATGATCTTATTTTGTTAAGTATATACATCACATTAGATTGTAAAAGCACCAGTTTGAAGGCTTGGGCAATCGTTAGATATGCAGGGTTA